TAAGTTCCAGTGCCTCCTCCTTCCTGGGTTTCTTAAGGCCTGACACAAGAGGGAGCCTGTGTTTGCTGACATTCTAGGTCAGAGGACAAGTAGCCACTCCTTAGGGCTGAGTTTCTTCAGGGCAAGTTCTCAGGTTGGCTCCTCCCAATTCCCTGCACTATGCCTAGAGATGTGAATGGCAAATCTTTAGCCTGATAACTGAGCTGTGTCTCTCATTCTTGGATTATTCAAAATCAGAGTTCAAAGCTGTTATTTATGTTCACACGTTGAACAATACAAACTATCATATAAAAGGGGAACTTTGCAGCACGATTTCAAACTGTTCTGTGCCTTTCAGTCGTCGAGACCCAAATGAGAGAGGGAATCCCTTAGCCACAGCAGCAGGAAAGCAGGGTGGGCCCCAGTTAGGTGAAATCTGCTACACAAGACCAAAAACACAGTGCTGTGCGTAACTCACCTCCGTCCACCAGGAACGTCTCCTGGGCCTGTGCGCGCTGTCCTAGAAGGGGTACCTCACTGCTAGCCCTGTCCTCTTGGTTTATGTTGGGCGGGTAGAGGGTAGAGTTGGGAGACCTGAAAACAGGTAAGGCCAGGTAGGGTAAACATGAGCCTGGGCTTGAATCTCAGATGCACTCCTCATTATAGATGGAAATGGAGACTTCCTAGCACCTGCTCATTGCCAGAACCTTCACATTAACTATTTTGGTTGTTAAAGTGAACAAGAGGTGACCACGACACCCAAAATGTTCTTTATTGAGCAGACGCACAACAGGCAAAAAATCTCCCAAAGGAACTGCTTCAAAGCAATTAAGGACACAAAGGATTTTTTAAATGGGTTGTTTCATATATTATTTAGGTGACTTTATTGAACCTTCGATTCAGTAACAACAGGAAATTCTGCCTGTGCAGTCTGTGTTCTGCACATGCTCTGGTCCACTCTTCAGCTAAAAGAGTAAATAGTGTGTTAGTTATGAATCTCTGGAAATCAGGGTGTCCGTGTGTTTTCTAGAGGACGAAGGTTCCAGCACTGCTTCTGAGCCATGTGCTGTGACAGTCCCCGCAGACAGCAGAGGACAAGTCTGCCTGGGATTTTGCTCAATGAATTTCTGAACAGTGACTGATTGCCGATAGTTATTAGACACCATAAGCAATGATCAGACAAGACATGTTGCTAACTCAGCCTCCTCATCCTTTTCTGTCTTTCCCTGTGATTCAGGAGGAAGGATGCCGGCTTCTTATCCTACAAAGATCACCTGCCCGTGAGCCAGGTGGTGGTTGGAGATACCGACCGGCAAGGCTCAGAAGCCAAACTGAGTGTGGGTCCCCTGCGCTGCCAAGGAGACAGTAAGTTTTCTCAGTGCACAGCTGTGGCTTGTAATTTTCTTAGCATGCGTAAATCGTCTTTCCGGGCTCCTTGAAGGATGCTAGAAAATGGTTTCTCTTCCATGGGTCCCGCTGGACCATCATGAAACACAAGCAGAAGCAACAGAGAGCTAAACAGACCTGTGTTTGTAGAAGAGGGCGACGGGCTGGAAGTCTCCAGTACAGGAGCCTAGATTTGGGCACAAGATGTGGCTATCCATCTTCCTTTCATATTCATATGTAACAAGTTTGACTACCTAAGTTTATGGTAATATAAATAGCAATGCTAATAGCATAAAAGCGGCACTCAACAGCTGGGATCCCACTGAGTGCTGCTGTTAATGCCATTAGCGTGACTATTTATATCACCATAAACTGGGTTTATGGCGATATAAATAGTAGCATTATGGTTTAATGTATCATTGTAAACTTGGATTATGGCCATGTAAAGTTTGACATTATTGCTATCAAACTTCATCATCATCAACGCTTGATGGTCCCTTGAAAGCCAAAGATTGTTTCTGCGGCTACATCTTGCTTTCAGGATTAGGCGCCACAGAGGGGAATTGGGGGCTGCTGGCTTGGACAGCGGGAGGTAAGGGAGTGAGAGTGAGGACCCATCTAATTAAGGGCACCATTAGGATTTTATGTTGTTTGATGCCCTTCTGTGTGCTTCATGTGCGGCGACAGGGAAACAGCCACAGGTTGCCATGGGGATTCTGCAGCGAGCATCCTGGGTATCGTTCTCCCTCTCTTTTCTGCACATGTGGTTTGGGTAACTCTCTAGAGAGTTCTATGCTTTTGTGATTGTGCGCCAGGCGTGGAGAGTCCTAGATTCTGCTCTCTGAGTAACTGGCCTACCCAGAGATTTCCGGCAGGCCTCTCCACCTTCGCCGCCATGGTAATGAGAATACCACCTGCATCCCGACGCCTCCTGGGGAGGCCATAAAGATTTTAGTGCCTGGGTTTGTATTCCTCCTAGCAAAGGATTATGTGAGATGGAATAATTTTACTACTTGCGTAAATCAACGGAGAATTAGACCTACTCGATAATAAATAATTGCATCCACTCAAAAAGGTGTCCTAAGGAATGTAATGAAGCATGCTTCACAGTTTACTACTTAGTAAATCGAGGCTGTCAGCAATTAAAGCAGAGGAATGTCCTAATACAAAAGAGAGATGGAGTTGGTACTGATTTTTCTCTGCTTACATTGAGAAAATGAAAATGTTACATGTAAAATTGAAACTGGTCAAAAGATCTTTATCATGCATTTATTGAACAATATTATTTCATTTGTCTAGTCAGGCTTAGTAGAACTGCACAGTAAGAAATTTAATTTTGACTGTTTAAGAAAAAGACACTGACATAAAATAATAATCAATATGCATTTTTAAACACATATGCTGAGAGACAAACTATAATGTTCTCTAAAATTAGGCTCTCATGTTTTGTAGAATGAAAATCAATTTTGTTGTGCTATAATTACCTATTAGCATATAAAGATAAAATATTTCTGGCTTATCAATTCTCATTCTGAATTTAGATTTAGAGAAAGGGCTTCCGTTAAATAATTGATTAGCTTAATATACTTATAAAAATCCCACTTCTGCAAACCTTTATTACTATTCTTAAGGAGAACGTTCTAGCAACATATAATAGGATAAGCTAGAATATATAGTTTACAGTTAATATTAGGTTGTTTTCTCCTAAACGACAAATAGTCCTCAGGAAGAATTAATTATGGGCCTGTTATTCGTTCAGCACCTGTTGGGTACTCTGGGAATAAGAGAAAGAAGTTCCAACCATGTTTGAGCTGGGCATGGCAGCACACACTTGTAATCTCAGCAATTTAGGAGGCTAAGACAAGAGGCAACTTGGTGAGATCCTGTCTCAAAATTTAAAAAATAGAAAAAGGCTGAGATGGAGCTCAGTGCACTGGAACTCTTGCCTAAGTATGAAGCCCTGGGTCAGTCCCTGGTACCACCCAAAAAAACAAAGAACAAAAAGTTTGAGAAATGTACATGAAAGAATATTGGAAAACCTAAAATAGTTTATAACTTATTAGATTTTCTGATATAAAATAATTACAACAGTTGCTCAGTAAAGGAATGACAGAAGTTGCATTTCAGGTAGACTTTATAATTAAAAAGCATAATGGTCAATGTTCCTTTGTATTTCTATGGGAAATGTGATTAGGTTCCATTATAAAGCCAAATGCTACCTCATTCATGGACTCATGGACATCGCATGATCTTAGTTTATAGGGAATGTTGCTTCAAAGACTCTTTTTCAATCATGTTTTACCTGATGCTTTGTGGAAACAAAACCAAGGTCCATATTAAATGGTGATTTTGTGCCATACTTTTGTGTTTGTAAGAGGCCAGATCACCCTTTTTCCCAGGCAACTGAGAACATGGACTGAACCTTGAACTTGACCTTCAGGTGGGAGTCAGTCATTCCTGGCCCACCGTGCCTTTAAGGGTGTGGTAATGAAGTGTTCCACGCCAACACTGTTCCAGTTCTTGTATGTGTCTGTCTGATCTCCTTGATTTCCTACTGCCTCAAGAGAGGTGGGCTAGGCAAACACTAGAGTTTCTGTTGTACAAATGAACAAAATACTGCTTTGAAAACGGCATTTACTCAGCAAATTCCTGAGCGGCCCTCTCAGGCTCCTGGAGGACAGACAGAGCAGAGGATAGAAACACAAGGTCAGCATTGTTTTCCTAACTTCATTCTCTTTCCTCCATCAATGGACAATAAATTAAAATGTCTTCAAAATATGCCACTTGGGTCTTGCCTCACCCTGAGCCCCATCTACCGCGTCGTTTCCAAACATAGCCTGGATGCTGGGGAATTCAGTTCATGTGATCTAAGAAGTGCAGGGCATTTATCCTGTTGATAGAGATTAGCTTACTTTGTGTCCATTATTGAAGTGTGTTGGGAGCTACAGTTCAGAAAAAAAAAAAACAATTCCATTGTTAAAAATGTCTCTGTCTCGGAGGAGCTGGCTAGTGACAGCCCTCACCTCAGTGTCTTCTGAATTAGGCTCCAGCCCTAGTTTTGGAGGATGAAACCACTGCCGTGGCTCTGCCCAGCCGTTTCCGTGGTTTCGGTTGATTTCCTGTGCCTGCTGAGTTTCATTTTCACTTTGATTCCTCTGAACTCATAGACCCATATAATCAAAATGCTAAAGAAAATCAGTGAGTTCCACCCAGGGATGCTGCATTTCCTATATAGCTCTGTGAAACACTTATGCCTGTACGATTTTTTTCCCCCCAAAACACATCCAAATGGAAACCTCAAATCTAAATGAAACTGCAAGTGTGACTGGTGATGGATGGTTTGCTGAGATACGAAGTGCAGAGGAGTTACCAACCCCCCTCCCAAACCATATCTGCTCACCTAGGAAGAAACAAAGGAGCCATTTAGAAGATCAAACCCCAGTAACAGCCTAGACATTGTTTTCAAAATTTATATATGTGATCTTTCTTGGAGGTGGCTGGTAAACTTGGATGGAATAGATTTCAGTGTGGGGAGGTAGAAATCTCATTCATACTATACGTGGTGACTATACCTGATTGTAGGAATATAGTATTTGCTGGTTAAATGTTTTATTCTCACCCATGCAAGGTAAAGATTTACCATATCTCCTCTGGGGATGTAGAGACTGGAAACAATTAATTAGGAGGGAGTTTGCTACAAAAGCAAGTGTCTTCAATAAACCCAGATAGAAACAATTTTGGAAAATGTGTTGCTCAAGGGCTGCTCCTGAGTCCATGCCAGAAACCAACTGGCTCTGGCTGCAAGAGCTGACAGGCAGAACCCTCACTTGAGTCACGCTGGGGGTCTCAGATGAAAACTCAATTTCTTAAAGCTGCAGAGGTGGTTCAGAGGCGAACAAGAAAAGGAAAGGCAGGCAGCAGACGCAGCTCAGGAGCACGGTAGGCGGGGGCAACGTGCAGCAGGAGAGCAAGGAAACCGGTGATGGAGTTGCATCCGAAGGACAGTGGACGCTGGTTCCTTGGGAAAGTAATCACATGCGCCAGAGTAATAGTAAGGCCCAAGTCTCTCCAATGCAAGCATCTGACAAACCAGGACTGTACTCTGCCATTCCCTTACCACGAGACAGCACAGGGCGTGGGTCTACGTGTTTTTCCAGGGATGAAATATTTCCACAGGGGAGCACTGGGTCTAGCTCTCAGTTAATATGCCACAAAGGCACACTGGCCACACAACTCTGTGTCCGCGCTCTTTGCCAAATGCTGGGGCAGCAGAAAAGGAGTAGACAAACAGAGGGACAGAAAACGGCTCAGTGGGGCATGGGGACAGTTTTTACTGTGAAGAGGAGGCAGCTTCCAGGTGCAGAGAAGGGTGGGAAGTTTCGCTCTTTGCCACTTTGCTGCCCAGGCTTCCAAGACACAAGGCAAGGAAAGGGCCTGGTGCAGGCTGTAAAGCAAGCATGTCCTGTCACCTTCTCCCTCCAATCTCCCCATGTCCTGGGAGCTGGAGAGCTGGAGGCTTTGTCCCTGTGGGCTGACAAGGACGCAGAAGCAGGGTTTTGGGTGGAGCTGGAAGGTTCCTTCCAGAGCCCTCATTTCTGCTCCCATGGATATTAGGATTTGGAGCCAGAGAGGGGAAATATGCCTCCTATGCTCCTTGGGGGTTGACATATCTAAACATGATCTTAAGATCATCTCTTTCATCCAAACCCTTGAAATCTTTTCTTCCCAGCTTCACATGTGCCTGGGATGCTCTCCTGCCCCTGCCTAGATAGATCCCAACTCAAGCCCGCCATGGCTCCTCCCCACACTGCGTTTTCCCAGACTAACCTGCACCCACTTCATCCTCTGTAAGAAAGCCTCAGTCCCCTCCCAGCAGATGGGCACCCTGGGTTAGGTGATACTGACCAGTCTCGCTGGATCATAAATTCTAACACATGAATGATGAAGAATTCCTCTCTGGGCAAAGGCAGTGTGGGAAG